GGGAGGAATGGGTTTGGGATTAACTTGGGAGGTTGCCCAAGCCCTAGGCATTCCTGAAGAACGGGCCGGGAAGCGCAGGACATGCAGATGTATGGACACTGAGAATTCAGCTTCGAGTAAGACATACTCACACAAGATAGACCCTGCCCTCATGGGGTTCACAGCCCCAGTGTGAGGGAAAGACCTCACGTGATAAAACAGCCTGATTAGGGCGATGATAATTTTTATTTTCTGTTTTGGGTTCTTTGGAAACACAAGAATATCCCTTCCTCTAGCCTGGTGGGCAGGGGGATTAGGAAAGAATCTCAAATTAGGGGTTAGGTCTAAGATTTGAACCCTGGACTGATGCCAAAGTGTTTAGAACACTACTCTTCTAAGGTTTTGTTTTATTTTTAAAGAAAGGTTTTTAGATTCATATATATATATATATTTTGTCTCTCTACAATAATAACCCTAAGAGGGATTCTTAGGGTGCTCTGACACCTATATTGAATTTTACTACCATGGCCTGCTTAGGATGAATTATTATCATCATGGGGACCAAGAATGTTTGTTATCATACAGCCTTGGTTTCAAAACCTGGCTCTACCACTTAACTGCTTTGTGATCCTAAGCACGTGGCTAAATAACTTTCTGAGCTTCCATTTCTTGATTTGTGTAATGGGGATATTGATGCTTCAGTAGGACTTTGGGGAGAAGTAAGTGCCTAGCACAATGTTAGCTGCTATTAGGAAATGCCCTCAGCTTTCTCCAGGCCTGCTTCCTTGAAAAGGTAGAGCTGTGCCTCCAGAGCTAGCCTATTCTCATCCTTTCAGCTTTGGGAAGATGTGTGTGTGTTGGTTGGTAGGGAAAGGACGTCAGGTTATCATCTGGTAGTTTCCCCGCCCCCCCCCAACCTCCATAATTTCTCATCCAAATGGACAGGAACAGACATACAAAACTTGGAACTTAAACAGAGCTTGTTACTTACGGTAAAGGCTGGTTAATTAGGACTCTTAACCAAAAGTCTTAAATGGCTTTTCCCCCACCCCTGTTCCCATTCCTCTTACGAAAAAGAAGCAAAAAGACTAGAAGGGTTAATGATTGGAGAGCTCCCCTTCAAGGGGCTAGTCCATGGTTAGAAGATACTGTGCTCCCTGCACACCCCACCTGTCCCCTAAGATCTAGCCTACCTGCCTCTGCATTGTATCTCCTGGAGCCTGGCACAGTTTTTCAGTAAACATGTGTTAGAGGCATGAAGATATAGCCTAGGCGCCAGCTAGACTGGGCTGTTGTTGTTTTTCTAGACGTGCTCTGCATTTTCCTGCTTCCATGCTGTCATTTATACCTGGAGTGCCTCTCCCAGTTGTGGCCCTGTGGACTTGGGGTTGGAGTTACTGGTGCCTTGTCTTATGCCTCTTATAAGCTAGTAGGCTCCTTGTAGGCATCAGCTCTGCTTTCTTCATTTTTGAAGAAACACTGCATCTGGTACACTATACATTAATGGTTATTGACCATTTGCTGTGATCTCAGTAAATGTGAGTTACTTCTATTTGCTTATTTAGTGCCCATACACCTTTATGAAACAGGTACTATTATTAGCCCCATTTAACAGATGAGAAAACTGTGTAGCCTTAGGAAATTGAGTATCATATCACTAGACAGTTTGTTGAACTTGATGGAATTAAAACGGGTCTCTAAGGCCTTTGGGGTCCACAGCCTTATCCACAGGACCTGCAGTCCCCAGGGATGTCTCTGATGAAGTGGAAAAACTTCTCTCTTGGCGAGCAGTGCTGCCCACAGAACTGGACTTTGTGAAGCAGGAACATGGGCTGATGTAATATTCATCTTTCCTTTCTAAAGAGTTTCTTAAAGAACTCAAAATGGTCTCATCAATATACATATTGTCGTCTCTGAGCTTCCAAACAAGCTTGAGACCTAGGTCAGCTATTACAGTCCCATTTTATGGACAATGAAGCCAAAGGCTGGAAAGAAGTGACTGTAAGAGGTGGAGTTAGGACTCAAACCCAGGCCTTCTCACTCTTGGCCAAGGCTCTTGACTGCGTTCTCCTTTAATACACCAAAGCAAACAAAGAATCCACAAACAAACAAGTATTAAAGGTAGAGGATTCTCAGGGAGCTATCTTCTGGGAGCAGAGGTGTTCCTTTCTGGGAAGCGGCTGGGGAGAGGGCTGACTTGAATATAAAGTCTGCTGGGTAACTTGTGTTTCCCAGGAAATCAACTTGGCCAGACAGCCTGTTCCTGCTTTTCTATCTTGTTGAGTGTTGCTAATAGAAAGGGGGCTCTGGGGGCTCCACCCTGTCTCCTCAGACAGAAGGGGAAGGGAAGGAGTTTCTCTCTTTGCTCCCTTTCTCTGTGTTTCCCTGCTCACGAATCTCCTGGGTCCCAGGGTGCTAGTCCTGGATGGGAATCTGCTGCCTCTCCCTGCTAGCTTGCCCCCTCCTCACCAGCTGCTGCTTCCTGGGAAGATTTCTGGAGGGATTTCAGTGGGAGGTTCTAGATGGGCAGGGCAGCAGCCCACTTCACAAAGAAGGGACCTAGGTTCAAATTCTCTGGTGCCCCAGAGACAGAGATGGGGAAGCATGGGGGCTGTTTCCTGCCTTGATTGATCTTTGAGAATTTCTGGTTTGTTCACCAAGCCACTTAGAATACACATTGCTGCACTTCATCTTCCTTTGCAAAATCCAAGCCCATCTACTTTTGGCTTTATGAGCTTTGTGGAAGTACTTTTCACACCTCGGATTTTAACTTCTTACTTCCCCCTATTCTCTCATTCTTTTCCCTCCTCCAAATGTCAGGTTTTGGTCAGCCAAAGAAAAGGCAGGGAGGCTCTGTGTGGCTCTGAACCACGGGGATGTTGGTGCTCGTTTGCCTGACTCTCCTGCTGAGCTCAGCCTTGGCAGGTCCACAGAGTCTTGATGTCCATTCTGCATTATGTTTTGGTGTGGTGACTCCACACCAAAATTTTCTCTCCACTATTTCTTGGTGTTGCCAGCAGATGGAGGTCTCTGGTCCAAAAACTTCTTGGAACAGAAAGGGCATGTAGGGAGAATCCTGTTACTTTCCCAGGCCTCCAGGCCAAGAAGGCATTCCCATCACCCAAAGGAGAGTGTTCACTTGTTTTTATTTAAAAATTTTTAGGAATAGACGCTTTAAAAAATAATATGATCTACTCTTAAATATTCCCTTCGTTAGGGAAGTCTTTTAAATGTCTAATCAAAAATCTAACCAAAGGCCTTTTCCTGTTCACATATGGAGAAGCACGACCAGCTTTTTACTTTATGGCATTTGCTTCCCATTGTAAAGGATCTGCCTTTTAAATTTGTTTTTGTTATGTCCAAACATTCCTGAGTTTCGTGGTGGACAAGGCTTAATTGTGGGCCCGGTGATCTCAGTGGGCCGCTGGGGAGCAGGTGGGGAGCCCTTTCTGTCCAGTGAAAGGCAGACCAGGTTGTTTGTAACCAGATCTCTGAGAGTAAAATACTGACATTTGGAGGCTCTGGATGAAGGGTATATGGGAATTCTTTGGGTCCAAAAGTATTTCAACATAGAGTTTAAAATAAATTTTATAAGAAATGATTTAAGTCTTCTTTGGCTTTTAGGAAGCCGATGAATGTGAGAGCGGAGCTGAGCATGCTCTGGTTTCCCTTTCCACTGTGCAGCTAGCTACGGCAGGCCCGCTCTGTCCACAGCTTCCGGGCACGGAGCACTCTGAATCTCACCCAGGGGCTGGCCAGACCGCGTGGGGGTAGCCGTTGCTGGCAACTGGGAGGTGTCACCTCTAGAATTATCCAAGAAGCTACGAGGCCAGAGAGGGGCCACCAAAGAAAGAAGAGAGGGGGCCAGGAGCCTGGAGGGCAAGGAGCGAAGATGCTCCTGGGGTCCGTGGGGCAGAACCATGTGAGAGCCCCAGAAAGGGGCACATGACAAAGGACCCTGTGATCTCCAGAACCCGCTGCATCAGGAATTGTCAGCTCTTGGGCCACTGTACCTTGGCATAGCTTGTGAAAATACTTTCACACTTCCTTTCCCATCACAGCATGGGAGTGAAGCAAGATGAGCCGTTGTATCCCCATTATATAGAGGGACAGTGAGGCCTAGGGAGGTGAGGCCATTGGCTCAGGGACACGTCTTGCAAATGGCAAAGCCAGAATTTGAGTCTAGCTGCCTTCTTTCTGAAGTGTACACTCCTTCACTGACATTCCACTATCTCTGTAATAGCAACATGGTGGCCTGGGCAAAGGTCAGGGTAGGAATTGCACTTGGCACTTCCCTTGCGTGGACATCCGGCCTGTGTGTTTTGTCTTGGTTTAGGTGTCCCCAAAGTCCCCTCCATCTTAATGGTTCCCACTGGGGCCTGGCTGTCATGGACTGTTGCTAGTGGCGGTGGGGGGGCAGCTGTGTTGCTTTGATGCCTGGACAGATGCTTAGTTGGGCCTCCTTGTGAATCAGAGACCGTAGTAGGCTTGACTTTGACACAAAAGGATGATGTCTTCCGCCAGCCGTGAAATGTTGACTTCCTACCAGAACCCCCGGAGACTTCCAGCCACACAGCAGTTCTGACCCACTTTTGTTTGGCCGAGCTGCAGGGGGCACTGTCTACAAATCTGCCAGCTTGCGCCTTGAGGGGAAATGAGCTCAATTAAGTAGGCAGGTCCCAGTGAGGCTTTTCTGCAACGCCATTAATAATCGCATGGAGCATGGAAAAAATATAACCTCACATCTCTCGGCCCCATTTTCATCTGTGTCGATGTTCAGGGTGGAGGATCACACAGAGGGATGCCTTTGCTGCCAAATTAAGAGGCTAGTTTCCCTTCAGCCAGGATGTGCTGTCTTTCTGTCTGCCTCTCTGTCTGTCCCTTTTCCTCATGCCCACCCCCAAAGTGCCCAAGACTCCGCTGTGAATTTCACAGATTGCCAGGGCCATGGAAGGGCAGCAGTGTGTTATAACTTTGTTTTCTGAACTTCTGCCTCTTTTTTTTTTTTTTTTTTGGAACAGAGCAGCACTTTCCAGAGGTGATGCTGGGGGAAGAATTTCTTAGCCTAAGTCTGGACCAGGTGTGCAGCCTGATATCCAGTGACAAGCTGACCGTTTCTTCAGAGGAGAAGGTACGGCATGGCCCCTCGGTGAAACAGGACCCTCACACGTGAGGCGGCCATGGGAGGGACAGTGAGACCTTGTCTCTTTTTCAGCAGAAAAAAAAAGGAGCTCATTTTTTTTTTTTGTCCCTTTAAATAATTAGAAAAGGACCTTCTGGCCCATGTTTGCTACATTTGTTGTCTGGACACTCTGAGGAAGAAATAACGCTGGTGAAGATGATGGTGACAGAGCTGCCTGCATTAACTGGACATTTACAGTTTGCCAAGCACTCTGCTAAGTGCCTTGTTCTCTTCAGTTCCCTCAGCCTTCACCACAGCCCCATGAAGCAGGCATTGCCCTTGTCCCCACATTGCAGATGAGGAAAACTAACTTGGAGGAGTTAATTAGCTTGTCTGCAGTCACTCAGCTGGTTACTGCAGAGTTGCGGTCTTCCTGTGACCTGGTCTTAGTCACTGTCCCACATGGCCTCTTGGGAACATCATTGAGCATTTAAGCCAGAGCTGACCTTTGGGAAATGTCTATTCTAACAGGGGATTGGAACTTCCACTGTTGAGAAAACTGAGGCTCAGAGAAGGGATAGGATCTGTTGAAGGCCCCACAGTGAGTGACCGTGGCAAAACTAGAACCTGGGTCTCTTGACACCTAGTGCCCTAACTCACCGACTACACACCACTTCCTTGGTGCTGCAGGCTTGATTTCTGCCCACTGCTTTAACTGACCCGTGAGGGCTGATCTGTCCCTACCTCTAGGTCTTCCTTCTCACTGACCTTCCGCTTGGATTATTCTCCCTTTTCCAACGTCACCTGTTGGAAACCAGTTCCCGTTCCAGTTCTATCAGGAAGAGCTTCTTTACTCCAGGAGATGTAGTCTCCTATATTGAAAATAACATACACTTTGGTGTTGGCCAGTAGGGTCCAAATCTTATCTCTAGTATTTACAAATTAATTGGTGACCTTGGGTGAGATAGTTTGCTTCTTCATCTGTTTCTCATGTATAAAGTGAGAATGGTAATAGGACATACTCCAGGGGTGGTTGTGGGGATTAAATGGGATAAGGTGTTTCAAATGCCTGGTGTCATACCTGGTACTTGGTAGGTGCTCATTCGGAGGTAGCTGAGTTTATTATTGACCATGTGTCTGGAATTTATTCCTTTCTCCTCTGTGTTCCAGGATAATATTCAACTTGTTTTACTGCAGTTAGTTTTGAGCCCATCTGACCTCCTCCACTTGACCATGAGTTCCCTGATGGTAGCAACCACATCTTACTCTTCTCTGCATCCTCAGAGATGCTCAATACATGTTTCTTGGATTGTCTTAGTCCGCTCATTGTGTCCCAGCTTGAGGTCCTTTTCTGAGGAAATATTTAACGAAAAGCCTTTAAGAGCGATCTTACATTGGAGATGAGTGTCCAAAGCCACATGTCCCGAAAATGGGATGGCATCACAAGCCCCCACCTGTTGTCCTGCAAAAATTTGATCCAGAAGAAAAGCAGTTGTGGGTTGGAATCATGGGCTGCCCCAAGACTTCAGAGGGATTTCCAGAAGGTTGACTGGCACAACTAGCTGGATTGTCTCTTAGACTCAGTGAGGCTCTACTTTCATTAACTGATGTGAGATATCACCTGCAGGGTAAAGGATACCTCTGGCCAGGCCATGGCCTCTTCCTGCTCCAGCCCCAGCAGCAAAGACTCCCTAACTTCTTGCCAAGCCCTGTTTAGTGTCTTCTCCAGATGGTGCTACTAAATGGGCACAGTTTGAAGGAAGGAACTAGTTAGTTGATTGACCATGTGGTAGTTGGTGCAGTTGGCCAGTTTGGGGCCTGCTTGAGTGTATCCTCAGGTGTAGTCTGAGAAAATGACAACAGCCATATAAGCAGCAGGATTTGGATCGTCTTGGGGGTATTTGGGTTGAGAGGGGGGACCCTGCTACCTTTAACTCCTGCGGGCCCATCCTGCTCTGAGATCATAGTAAGCTTTCCTCAGGTGAGGGCTTGTCTGTGCTTGCTGTGTCAGGGTGGGGTGGAGGTGGGTTGTTAAGATGGAGAGGCATTTTAGTGCCCTAGAAACCACTTGGGCTTTGGACTCAGGAAGACCTGTTTCCATGCTCCACTTGATGCTTACTGGCTCCTTGATTTTCAGGAGTCACTGGTCTCTTTGAACCTTGATTTTCTTACATGTAAAGTGGGACTGCTAAGAGTACCTCCCTTATGGAGTTAGGAGGATCACAGATACTGGGTTTAAAAAATCAAATATAGTGTTCAGTAGGTGCTAATAAATGGCGGCTGTCATTGTAATTACCATAGTCCTCTGTTTTGAGGCACCATTGACAATGGTCATGGTATCAGTGTTGCCACTGATAATGGTAAAATAAGCCATGGAGTTAATTGCATCTTTCCAGAAGCAAAGAAGCATGACATTAAATCTATGTGCTTAGAACATTGTCTACAGTGGCTCTCATTCATTCGTATGCTTACATAGGAGTTGCTTGTTCTGTGTAATTAGAGTTTAGAGTAGAGGTATTTTTTTTTTAAGATTTTATTTATTTGAAAGAGAGAGTACAGCAGGGTGTTGGGGGGGCACCTGGGTGGCTCAGTCGTTAAGCATCTGCCTTCTGCTCAGGTCATGATCCCAGGGACCTGGGATCGAGCCCCACATCGGCTCCCTGCTCCGCGGGAAGCCTGCCTCTCCCTCTCTCACTCCCCTTGCTTGTATTCCCTCTCTCGCTGTCTCTCTCTCTCTGTCAAATAAATAAATAAAAATCTTTAAAAAAGAAAAAAAAAACAAGCAGGGTGTTGGGGGAAGGCAGAGGGAGAAGCAGACTCCCCACCGAGTAGGGAGCCTGATGCGGGTCTCAATCCCAGGACCCTGAGATCATGACCTGAACCGAAGGCAGATGCTTAACCGACTGAGCCACCCAGGCGCCCCAAGAGTAGAGGTATTTTTCACGTCAGCAAAGTTGTAGATTATATTTGGTTCTCAGAAGTTATTTGTAACTTCAGAGTTGCGTGATGCTTTTCATAAAGTAGATTGCTGATGATCTTGATCCCTTTGGTACCTTTAAGGTTGGCAGTATAGTTTTTTTTTAATTTTAAAGGTTTTATTTTTCAGTGACCTCTGTACCCACACTTGAACTCACAACCCCTAGATCGAGATGCATGCTCTACCGACTGAGTCAGCCAGGCGCCCCCTAAGGTTGACAGTTTAATTTTGAGGCTTATCAAAGAATAGTGGGGTTTGGCCTGTGTTTTCTATTTCTAATTTTATTTCCCCTAATTGATTACATATTTCTGGAAGTTAAATAGCTGGAAGCTTTTGACAATTGGATGTTTGTTGTTTGAATGCTAGCTCTTGAGGCTTTGAAAATTCTGTGATGTGTTCCAGGAGATTTTGTGATTTCTACTTCCTTTAGTTACATTTCTTAATAAGTAACCTCTTGCATATACAATAGGCTTTGCTTTCACTATTGCATTGTAGTGAACTTAATGGAGTATATTTGAAGTAATATAAGGGATCTTAATTTAAGCTGAAATTCAACTGCATTTGATGTTAACATTTGCGGGGGCTGCGTGGCTCAGTCAGTTAAGCGTCCAACTCCTGATCTCTGCTTGGGTCTTGATCTCAGACTCCGTTCAAATCCCACATCAGGCTTCATGCTGGGGTGGAGCCTACATTCAAAACAAAACAAAACAAAGAAAAAACCCTCCAAAAACATTTGCAGAAAACTGAACTGCACTGGTAATCGAATAACCTGTATTGAGCTAACTCCATATTTGAACAGTAAATCAGCTATATTATGATTTACTTCTTTGTCTACAGCCCACAGATTTCTTTTGCAGCCAGACTTCAGATATTAAAATGTGAAAAAACTATGCATCTGAGAATAGAGGAAATGTGGTATTTTAGTAATGAGGTTTATAAGTGGCTGTGGCTAGGCCCAGGCAGTTTGCTTGCCGGGAGTTTGAAAAAGTAGAGGTTCTGTGCTTGAAGTGGCTGAGTTCCAATTCTGCCTCCACTGGTCTAACAGGCTGAGTGACTTTGAGCAAGTTATTTGTCTCCCACCAGAATGGATGCACCATACACAGTCATGGATTTTCTCCGTCTTACGGTTGCTGCCAGGGTGGTGTTGGTATCAGGTTCACGGTAGACACATAAACAAACATCATTTGTTGAATGAATGAGTAAGAGAACTTCTCTACATCTTAGTCTTCTCATCTGTAAAAGGGGGGCAATGATAGTAGAGTACGTATCTGAGGATGAGATCAGATGACACCTGAACAGTTCTTAGCCCACAGGAAGTGTTCATTACTGTAAGGTATGATTACTGCTGCTATTATTATTACCACTATCTTCCTCTTCCTCCTCCTGCTCACTGTTGACTGGGGGCATTTCTCAAGGGGAAGCTCTTCCCAGAGCCCATGTTAGTCTGGGTGGTTGTGTGACCTGGGGCTTGGTGCCAAGCAGGGACAGAGAGTGGGAGTAGCCTCTTGCTCTCCAACATTCCCAGCTCCCTGGGCCCCTTCTGGGCTTCTCCCAGGGCTCAGATACTGTTCTTCCTCCAGCATCACTTGCTGTTACCCATACCTCTGTCCTCCACTATTCTTAAGCTCCTGAGGGCTGTCCTTGTGCCACGGCAAGCTGACCCAGAGCCCTCGGCCAGCTCTGTGGAGCTGCTAAGCAGATATTCCCTGAGGGAGTGAAGGGGCAGCCTGGGGCTGGATGCCGCCCCGAGCCGGCTGAGGTTGTGGGAATAATTGTCACATTTTTTCAGGGAATAAGGACAAATGTGGGAACTAGAGGTCAGAGGGTGCGTGGATCCCTGCCATTTTCTCTCCTGTTTTTCCTTCATGTAGTTTTGGTTTTAAAATTCCTGGTATTTGAGGGAAGACAAAAGGACCTGGTAGGAGTTACAAAATCATGAGTTCTTTGGGTGGGACCCCTTCCCCCTGCTGCTGCTACCACTCCGCTACCCCAGGGCAGAGCAAAGGCACACTGGAGTAAGCCCTTCACAGTC